GTGGCTGGAGCATGGGGAGGAGGCAGGAGGCTGCCCAGGTAGAAAGCGCAAGGCTGTGCGGGACCTGCACAGAGTGGGAGCACGGCGGGGCACCTTTCTCTTACCTGCGCTGCAACAGTGTGTGACCTGGTAGGAAACAGCTTTGTAACACATGCTGTATTAAACCCTGCCTCAGAAAGGCCAAATGCAGCTCGCAAGCCTGCCCCTCCAGCGCCTACCACCACTGCATCAAATTCATGATCCACTACTGGATACTGAGCAGAAATCTGGAAAAGAAAAATGCACCTGTCAATCACGTGCTCCACTATGCCAACCACGAAGACTCTTGTTACAGTGAAGAGCTTGACAAAGACCAAAGGACCAACTGCTAGGCACACAGGGCCTCCATCCTGTCCTGGGGCTGAGCCCTGAACAGTGCGGGGAGAAGTGGGCACATTCGCACGTGGAGAAGGGACTGACAATCAGATTCTATGAATGGTAGAGGGTCTGTCCCACGGGATGAGACTGAGGGCCACAACTCTACTTCAGGGCCGCGCCTGTGCTTATGCCTGAGAAGGTGCCAAGGAGCATTCAGTCGCTATTGTGAGCTACGAGAAAAGAACTTCTCAGCAAGTTTCAGTTTTCCAACAGAGAGAACAGGCACGCCAAATACCAAGGAACCCACACCTGAGTGGCCCCACAGTCCTAATTTCAGTAGGAATTTTATCATCTATCACAGCAGATACTGTTCATTTTATTTTATTGCTTTACTTGATCTAAATTTAAATCTAGTTTATAGATACATTAAGAGATATAAGAAAAATGCTAACATCTATGTTTGTGTTTGTACTTGCAATTAAGTATTACTACACTGAAAATAATTTCAGCATGCATTGGACACCTATGAGAAATTTTTCTCTTATGTCTATGACTCATATGAAAAGAAACTGGTACAGATCCTTACCCCCAAGCCAAAAAATCATTTATAATGGAACAAAAAGCATGAACTTACAGAATCTGAAACTTTAGCAGATGCCCTCTTGTTCCCATCAACAGTGAAGTGAAAACCTCGGGTTCCTGTTTGCAACACTGCTGGCCACTGGTGACACAAAGACACAGATGCAGAGGGTTAGTGTCCTGAAGGAACAGATGCTATGGGGGACAGTAATTTAAACTTCCCCTTGCAAACTGTTCCCCTTCTTAGGTACCCAGGTGCTCCTGTGCATCCAGGGAGCTCAGCTGGGACTCTCTTCTTAACCCTGAAGGGCAGCCCAAGGGGCGAGGAAGGACGGAGGCCCCGGTCCTCCTTTCCGCCCCGACTCGACACTCCAGAAAACCAGGATGAAGCCTGTTTCCAAACAGGACACTCACTGACTCAGATACCACATGAAAAAGGCACACTTCCTCTGTAAAGTCTTAATTTATCTACTTAGTGGAGAAGGGGAAGACATCTATATCGTATTACTGTATGTGGTATTTTGCAAATAATGAAGCATTTTGACTGGCTCCAGCATAGCCCTTTCCACATTACAGTTCCAGTCGTCTATGAGGGCTTGTGGTCAGTTCAAAAGGCACTGGACACTGAATCAGGAGATCTGTATTCTGGAGCAGTAAAAGCTGACAGCCCAGAGGGAGGAGGTGTCATCCCTTCATCACACAGGAGGATGGTGGATGCACACTCTCCCCTGCCTGGCTGCTCCTGGCTTTTTCCTGGTCAACGTCTACAACTTGACACATCTTGCTGCCTAAATTTTCCATCTTAGAAACCTTTACCCAAGAAAACTGGTTTTAGTGTTTAGTTTTTAGCGGCTGTGTGTGTGAGAGGTGACACTGTCCATACGCTAAGGTTGGCCAGTCATTTAGAGGACAGATTTTCCATTCTGCTGGGTGCATTTTAGAAGACCACTGAATAGTCTCAGAAATATCATAAAGAATAGTTTTAGGGGCTGGGCGCAATGGCTCATGCCTGTAATCCCAGCATTTTGGGAGGCCAAGGTGGGTGGATCACCTGAAGTCAGGAGTTCAAGACCAGTCTGGCCAACATGGCGAAACCCCATCTGTACTAAAAATTAGCCGGGCATGGTGGCAGGCACCTGTAATCCCAGCTACTTGGGAGGCTGAGGCAGGAGAATCGCTTGAACCCAGCAGGCAGAGGTTGCAGTGAGCCTAGACTCTGCCACTGCACTCCAGCCTGGGCAACAGAGCGAGACAACGTCTCCAAAAAAAAAAAAAGAGAAAAGGAAAAAAAAAAAAGCTTTAGGAAATAATACACTCAGCAATCAGAAGAGGGGATGTGAGGGATGTCTTCAAGTATTTAGAAATACTTGCAATTCAGAAATTACTTGTTATGTGGGATAAAAAATTATTCTCCATTTCTCCAATTTCTAGTCTGTTTTTATTGACATAAGCTAATTCAGTTTTTTCTTTTTTCAGAAAATGAATGAGAAAGAACAAATATTCTTCCACCTTAGTATAATTTTTGACAAAGTAAAATCATATTTTAAGAAAGAAGTCTTTGAAATAATTTTAATACAAACTTTCTTGAAACTTTTGTAAACTGCCCTATTAACACAGGTAACAGCACCAATAACAACAGTGTATTACACCAACTGTAAGTAGAAACAGTGAGATCACTAAAGTTTATTTGTTCTTTCTAGGATGCTGACGTGGAATGCCCACTGCCCGCCCCGGCCACACACACACAGAGCCAGCTTAGAAGGGGCAGCTCCCATAACACAACCGTGAACAAATTATCACGCCATCCCCTGGGGACAAGGACACTCACCCTCTGTGTCTAAATCTAATCTGGGGCAGAGTTTTGAATGTGAAAGCCCAACTTTAAGCCAATTTCAGTCTTTAGATAAAACTGAAAACTAGTTTTGACACAAGACTAGTCTTGTGTGCCAATTATTAATTTTTTTAGGAGAAACTATCAAACATTTCCTCTAAGAAAAAAATGGGGAACATATAAAAGGAATATTAGACCTTGCTTAACAATATGGAATTTCAGACAACTGAATTAGGAGCTGGAGGGGGAAAAGAAGTGCAGAGACATTAATCCCGAAATCTACCAAAGTGAGGGGTCCTCATCTAATCAAATGCAACTATAAATCACGAGCAAGAAACTAATCTGCATGTACAACCCACACAATCACAAAAGCAGCCAGCGAAGAACCTAAACACGCATGACCGTATCAGGAAGAAGCGGAAGTAGGGTAGTTTAAGTGAACTAAATTCCCTCTCCCGGCAAGAAGTCTAAAACTGATAAAAATGCACCTGCACAACCTGCACATCCGCTAAAGAAACAGAGGTCTTACAAACACCAGGAGTCGGTATCAGAAACAGGAATTGCTTTCATGGAAAATGAACTGGGGGCGGTGGTATACTCACTGATTCTTTTACAACTATGTGTAATTATTCTCACTAGACTTTTAGTGTTTATTGTTTTAAAAACAGGGATACTTAAAATACAATTCACACATGGCTACTGTGCACAGGCTGTGAGCCCTGGTTCACAAGAGCACCACCAAAGGTTTCAAACATTACCCACAGAATCCCCACTAACCCCACGGAAAGACGGAACCTCAGAGGGGATTCAAGGAGGCCAGCTGCCTCTGGATCCTGGACTTGGCCCCCATCTAAAGACCCTTGGGAAAAATCTCTGAGACTCCCAGCTAATATTAATATCCAGGTTTCATATCAAAACCAAGCCACAATTTTTCAAATAAATCAGGAAAAACATCATGAAGAATGCAGAATGGAATGCCATTGTTGTTACAATTATCCCAAGAAGCAAAGCAAATATTTACTACTATAATGGCCTAAATAATGTATTTCTAGAACACCATTAAACACATTCAGAACAATCCATTCAAAGAAATCAATTTGTCCTAGAACCCATATACTGGATATTCATATTAAGGGATTTGAAAAACTTCACCTGAAGTAAGCAGTTAACCCAGTAACTATTTAAGTTTCTTGGTTTTACTTTTCCTCTGATTACACTGCTTTCGAACAGTTTGGAAGCTGTGTCAGTGCACCGGGACATAAAAAGAAACCAAAAGCAAAATAAGTCTGAAAAGTTCGTCACTTGAAATCAGCTGTAAATATAGAATGATCAAAAACACCACAGAACTGGCCAAAATTTGATTTAAAAATTCTCTCTGGACTTTACTGAAATTATCCTCAGCATCTGTTTTCCAAACACATTTCTCAGTTGGCTATCATGAATTCTTTTTCTGCTAATTTGATTACGCTGTTCCTTTGTAAACTCCAATTCTTCAAGAATAAAAGCCTATCTGAAATGCCGATAAATATACTGCTTGCAGGCAGAATTTCTGTAGGAAAAGCTAACTTCATAGATAAAAAGACTTTTACAAAACCCAAGACTAAATTTTGGTTAAATTTCGCTATCTTGCCATCTTGTCTGAGGTGCCTCCGCCGCTGGCAGGGTCTGAGGCTGCAGGAGGAACACT